CTAAATCCCTTCAATGCAGATCAGAAGCGGACTGGTTCCTCGGAGCGACCGGAGAAAATTATATTTTCACCGGAAAACATACAGGATTGCAAGATTTCTACAGTCCTGTGATCCTAAGATTTCGAGCTCGCGGTAAGCACTATTCGGAAATTGTGTACGTCAAAGTAGATTCGACACCAAGAAAATACGACTTTTCAACAATTTTAGCGCGCAACGTGGTATACGCCCAATGTATGCCTTATCCTGCAGACTTTTATGGCGCTATGTATGCTATTTGTCGCTCGCCGGCGCGCACCGTGCTGTAAGCGCAATGCATGAAGTATCCCGCAGACTTGTAAGGCGCTATACTACGCGTCACGCGCACCGTGCTGTACGCGCGATGCGTGAAGTATCCCGCAGACTTGTAAGGCGCTATACTACGCGTCACGCACACCGTGCTGTGCACGTAATGCATGAAGTATCCTGCGGTCTTGTAAGGCGCTCATTTATTTACATTTTGCAATTCGGAACTACAATTTCTGGCTCATCTGTAAAAACTCTTGTGTGCATGAGGAAACTAACATAATACATACGTTGTTCCTGAACGAAGTCAGAAACTGTGGTTCCTAATTGCAAATGAAGTTATTTTGATCAATGAACCCTTATAAAGCGTAGGGTATGGATTCGATCGAAATGTAAAACTTTAAGTTGATAAAAAAAAAAACTCGTGAATCGATAGAATCGACTATGGTTTTTTAATAATTTGTCAGTTGAACTGGTTTCGAACGGTTCGCGGCCATCGGTAAGGTGGTAAAGATTTGAAAGTCTTTAACTGGAACTTTTCTTGTCGATTTTGTCTCTCTCAAATTTATTGTCACTATTGTCATCGAAGTATGTATTACAATCTCATTTTACAATAGTTTCCATAATTAATTGCATACATATGTGATTTTTAAGTGTTGATTTATTTATAATCATGCATTATTGAAAATAAAATAAAAGACCAATTTCACCAAAAAAAAACTTTTCTTCTGGGCACTCTGATGCAACACTAAAGTGTTGTAATTATCAATTTTTTTTAACTCATAAAAAAATCAATATCTACTTCTCTCCTCTAAAGCTAGAAAAGAGTCTAAGGGATCAACCAGAATAAAAGTCTTTGAAAATCCGTCTGTAGAATCTGAAAAAAGCGTACATTAGCATCAATACAAAATGGAAGGTGAATATAGGTACTTACGACTCCCCTTAATAGTTACCACGTATGATTGAATTAACTTCTTCCGCTGAACAATTCCATCGTGTCTCATATGTATAAATGACCCGCATATTTATGAAATTCTCCTCTCGATCCTCTTATGGGACAATACTCTCTATGCATTGGTGGAAGACAGAATTGATGACCTCACTTGCTTTTAATCACAACTAATTATAACATATCATCCAATATTCATGTTATGCACGCCACAAACCGTTCGAGATTCTTCAGAGAAAATACAAAATGCATTTTACCGAACTTACATCGTGTATACGTATTTATCCAAAAGTGGGCCAAAAACGAATCTTCATTTCTGCCAAACCACCCGTCGTCATATTCGTGCGTCGGAACAAAGGAACTTGTGCTTGAATCACGGCTTTCGGGATTCACACTATAACAACGTGAAAAGAAAATGGGCTGAGAACTTATTTTTTGCAGGGTTCTGCGAAAATAATGAGTTTAATTTATGCGAAACTTCGAGAAACCGGGAACTGTTTTTGCTCCCTCTGCCCGAGTCTGACCCGATTTCGCCGCTCTGATTGCACAGAAGCTGTCTAGATGCCTAGGCGCTGACACTTACTTGTTCGCGGATTCACTTTGTTGCCCGTTTCCGTGTATCTCCGATCAACACGACACAGCCACTAAGCGAGACCCTTCCTTGATTAAGATCAGGAGGAGCAAAGAAAAAGAGTCCTGTATCGTTGAAGACCCAATGATTAAACTATGGTTTTACATATTAGGTGCTGGGGATTTCTGTCATGCGAGATAATTTTCTGTTGAATTAAACGTGACATGAATGATTGAAACTTTCGATGGAAGAAAAAGGTAGATGGAGAAAAATTTTCCGGTTATTAAATTCCTCATCGGTTGTATATATGAGACGAGATGAAGCTCTCTTGTTCCGATGCGGGGCTTAATTCTTGTTACGCTAACCAGTGTTTCATTGGAACTGCAGGAATTTCGGTTGTTTCAAACATAAATTTGTGAGCAAATATCAACGAAATGTCCCTTTGGACATTACGTAAAAACTTTCCCTATAAAGATGCTAATTTGAATGTGATTTTGAACGAAATATTTTTCATGGTAAACATATGTAAAATAATGTACCTTGAGAATTGAGATTTTAGCGCCGTAGTATCAGATTTATTTTTTTATGAGCCAAAACATGAAAATTAATTTTTAAACTTTTGCAGTAAATTAGATCCACATCAGTGATTCAGTACAGATAAATTCCCGTGTGTAAAAAATGAAGTTTCGACTCTTGTCGAAATCAAAACCACTCGATTTATGGAAAATAAGCATGTAGGATCAAGAAGTCACGAGGGCTGGAACTGAGATTATTGCCTCTAAATCTTTCCTACTTCGTAAGCCCCATTCAAAGAAATTGGCAGAACTTAAGTTTTCTCCGACTAATAGAAAAACTTTTTCCCCGGAGTGTTGGTGATTTTCAAATAATGAGCCAGAAAAAAAATTAAAATGAATTGACTATGATATTCTTTTAAAAAAATTGTATACTTCACTTTTTTATGTTTGCTGCATCTGTTTTACAAGAAATATAAAAGGTTATACACCACGAAAGTGATTGGATCGCAGGTAAATAAATTCGATTATAAATCGTAAGAGTGAAAAAAAGTTGAGATCAAAATAGCGTAAATCTTTTTAATTCTCTACAAAATCAACAAAATAATACAGATATAGTGACTTTCTAATGTTCAGGTCTAATCACATCGGTCTTAGGCTCTTATTCAAACTGTGCCTCCGAAAATTCATCATGCCAAAAAAGCTACAGTGTTTTGTGGTTGTCTAAATGTTCGAAAAAGTGACTCATGCCGTTTTGACCATACATACTGCAAACTTTAAGTGCGCTCAGGACAATACACATAGCTTTACGATATTACGGTGACTTTTGCAGTGATCCCATTTTCCTGGACTCGTGCCGAATTCTGGATCTTGAGATTCAAGAACTTTTTCGAAAATTTTGACGGTCATGGAGTGGGAGAAGTTGGAACAAAAAAGTTCCGAATCCTGGAACTATTAACGCACATGAAATTGGAGCACTGACTTCGTCTGAAAATATAAAAAAAATTGAGTGTATTCGTAATATTGGCAACACCTATTAGAGGGCTCCCTAAGTTTCCAATTGAACGTATTCATACTTAAAGGAACTATGCACATGGGATTTGTGTGCAGCATAGTTCCTTTTAGCATAAAAACGTCCAATTATTATTACCATCCGCACGGCCGGAGTCCAACGCAGCGATGGCTAGAAACCGGGTTGAAAAGGGGGGGGAGGGCTCCGCCCACGGTTCCCAGCAATTGTGTCGAATTAAATCTCAATTTTCGGATACGGCGGTACATTCTGCCGTGTTAAGGAAGAACGCCGTATGAACATTCGAAAGTTGCCAAATTTCCCCGAATAAAACATGTATTCTTGACGAAAGTTATGCATATATCTCTTTGGAATTTTCAGACTTTTTAGATAAAATTACGAACGAAATCCTCTTAAAAATTTAAAAAAAAAATTTCACAAATTTTCCTGAAAACTCGTGATTTGTCGAAGGAAATTTGGCAACGCCTGGAGGTTCATACGACGTTTTTCCTTAGCACGGCAGCATTGATCTGGCCCGGATTTATGGCTTTATCAGTCATACTCGAAGCACACGGTGATTAGTCCCCGTTGGCTCCCGTTGGCTGTTGGCTTTCGGTGAATATTAATCCTACATCAAGTTATTACCTCGCCAGCGGTTCTTTCAATCAATACAAAATGTGTCCAGTTATGTGGAGTCGTAGAGTGGTTCAGTTGGGTTCGACTCATCAACTGGTGCAAAATAAATGGATGAAAAAAACCCAAACAAAAGAAACTACTACAGCAACTCTGCCATGCTAAGGAAGAACGCCGTATGAGCCTTTAGGCGTTGACAAATTTCCTCTGGAAAATTACTAATTTCAGGAAAATTTTTGAATATTTTTCTGCCAATTTCTCAGATAATTTTGTTCGTATTTTGATCTGAAGCTCCTGAAAATTTCAAGGAAATGTATTCATAACTTTCCTCGAAATTAAAGGAAATTTGGGAACTCTCGAATGTTCATACAGCGTTCTTCCTTAGCACGGTAGAACTATTGGATAGGGTCAGATAACTTACAAGTATTCTGCCGTGCTAAGGAAAAATGCCGTATGAATATTCGAGAGTTGCCAAATTTTCTCGAATAAAACATGTGGTTTTGAGGAAAGTCATGCATATTTTTTCTTGAAATTTTCTGATAGTTTAGATTAAATTGTGAACAATATTTTCTGAAAAATGGACGGGAAATGTTCATAATTTTCTCATGGAATTCGTTTCTTATTGAAGGAAATGTGGCAACGCCTGAAGGTTCATACGGCGTTTATTCTTAGCACGACAGTATATTACGTACCTTACGTCTTTTACATTCACTGAAAAGAAAAAGTTACGGGTTATGTAGACATACCGTCCTTTCCGGCTCAGAGGCCAAAAGTTCTGGGTGCTGGAGCCGTAGCTTCGACTGCTCCAGGTGCCACGCCCGGAACTTTCGGCCTCAGAGCATGGAACGTGGGCGGTGTGTCTATATGGCCCGTAAGCACGGCTTCCACCATCGGGGATTCTTTTTTTTGCCGTGGTTGTGCCGATATTTATAGACGTATCAAGTCGTAATTTGGGGGAAAAAATGAAGTGTGTGATTGGTATTGTTTTAAAGTTTTTGGGAGTGGGTATGCAATTAATGTCCAGTTTTGCTCTTGCTGTTTCAGAAACCTCAACCCGCTCGTTTTTCTGCCCATTCAACATCACAATCTAAAGGTAAGAATAAAGTCCACTCAAGTCATTCTTGCTCCGCTTTTAGAATCAAGTTTTATTTAGGTAATACACTGAAAAAAAGTATCACAGTTTCAACTGCACTCCTAGCTGTTTGTCGTATTCGAGACGAGGGAACGCAGGTAAATTATCAAGTTGCAAAAGTCGATTCGAAAATTTAATTTTTCACAAGAATGCGACTTTCTTTCTGATTTTTTCGTGTGAACTAAGTCAGTGAAATTTTCACTTAGATAAGTCAAATTTTTGTCAGGAAAAAGTCACTTTGCGAGTGGAAATTTTGTAACGTTGACATTTAGCCACAGTATCTTGCGTCTGAAAAAAGACAAATTAATGGGTAAACTCGACTAATTCCAGTCACACTTGTAAAACCAGTCCAGAATTTTCCTTAGCTGTGTAATTCAACGCATAGCGTACATGAATCCAATCGGTAGCGCTATTCTCTCATATTTCAGAAAACTTAGAATGATAACGCAGTATCCTTGCATTCGATCGGTTAACACTAACTTCACTCAGGATTAACCCGGTTCTTACCCTTCTTCACCTCTTACACGCGTACAAAGATGGGTCTTGCACCATGTATTGCTGGACAATACCCTCCGAACAGATCTACTTTTACAACGAGCGTTTCTAGAAGTGGAAAGTTCCCAATCAAGGTGTTAGCCGGACTCCGGACGGTTGACGTTGATTGCACCTTCGCACCGGTCGTCAAATGTAACGATACCCCCGTGACAGGTATGCAAAATATACGCGCCATCCCCACTTTTGACGCCATGAGCCTATGCCATGTTGCCAATACTCGGATTGACATTTGACAAAAATTTCATCGTCAAAATGTCAAACAAGGAAGGGGGGGGGTGTCATTTCTTTGCCTGATTTTGCAGTATGAATCCCTGAATACAAGTGATTTGATCTTGATGAAAAATTCAAAGTAGTCCTCATAGTATGGTACAAAATTTTAAACAAAATTATATCAATCATCACCACCATTCCTTCCTTTTATCCTCTGAGTCATTAGAGTTTTCATGAAATTGTTCTAATATGAAGCCTTATGATATTGTTGAAGGCCCAAAACATATCTTACGAGAGCATGTGTATGCGTTTAGCGTCCGTTTATAAATAAAGAATTTGAGACACTAAAGGCTCCTGTTTCTGTGTGATAGATTCTCATGGTGTCACACACCGGCATAATGACGTGAAGATGAAGAAGGGCTATGCAACCCCTGGTAAAAATTGGCAGTAGAATCTGTGTTCCGAAATACCATAGACCTACAGCCGGCTGTAAGATTTCCAATAGCTTCTACAGCCGGCTACACAATTTCTTATAGCCGTTTATAGCCGATGGCGAGTAAGCAACAGCCAGGCGATAAAGTGTATGGTAAACGTTACTAATTACGGAAGCTAGGACTTAGTGAGTTTTTCGAATATTGCTCTCTTTTTGGGCCGTAGTATCTTGATTTATTTTGCGAGGAAAGCTCCGTACTTTTGATGGATGCCTGTCATTACTAATATATTAGAGCGCCTCCAGTTTCGCATGATTCTGTGCAATACCTCTGGTGTGAAATAGTTGCTTCAAGCGCCGTGGTACGCTGCGGCGCGGCAGGCTGGCCGCCAGCGTGAAACGCGCATTGCCGCCTACAAACCTAACAGGGATACTTCACGCGTTGCGGAATGCGTGAAGTATCACGGTTAGGTTTGTAGGCGTCAGTGTGTCGCCGCTCCACGTTGTGTTAGGCTCTAATATTTAATCTGGCGGAGTCAGCGTTATTCAACTCATGATTTTGAAATGCTTGCGCATCCTGTATGGCTTATTCTCATTTTAATTGATGAACAAAAATACGTAGTAAAGGCAAATATAATGTGTGTTTTGTAAATATCAAGGTGGTTCCGTATCAAACTTAATGATTTCCAAAGCACACGAATTTCTACACAATTTCTTATAGCCTTTTATAATCGATGGCGAAAAAGCAACAGCCAGGCGATAAAGTGTGAAGCCCGGCGATAGGAACTATAGCCCGGCTGCATAATTTTTAATCACTTCGTATAGCCCGGCCGTATGATTTTCTCCGCATTCTACAGCCAGCTATATGATTTTCTGTAGCCTTCTTTAGCCGGCTATAAGAATTCCTATGGTATTTTGAAACGCAGCTCTTATCGCCAATTTTTACCAGGGACTACAAGGCATTACAAAAAGCATACGAAATGAGAAAGTACATAGGTGGAATATTTGAGAACGAGTTGATGCATGTTCACGAAAACGTTACGAACTGTGTAATTTTGAGAAATTCGACTGAGCGAGGTCCACGGATAAAATCAGAACTTGAATAGTCTTCACTCACCCAATGATTGGACTGAGCTATGCACGGAAAAAACAACTCAGTGTCTAGTGCTGAGCCTTAAAAGTTTAGATCAAATGGAGCCAGCTAATAAGACAGTAGTGCTGAGTCCTACAACTTTAGGGTCCAGCCCTACGGACTGTTGGTCTCAGCACTGCTGCCTTATCAGCTGGCTCCATTTGATCTAAACTGTTAGGGCTCAGCACTTTGCTTTTTCCCCCGTGTGGAGAAAAGTTCACGTAGAAAATTTATCCGAAGATAAAATGAAGTATGACAGGGTGTCTGCAACGTTGTAAACGAAGATTCGTGGTTATCGCCACTTTAGCCATGGATGTCAGTATTGTCTCTGATTCGACAGCAGCGCACTGAAAAAATTTTCGGCGTTTTTACCAAGGTCCGTTGGTACCTTTACCATCTCACTTTTTTTACCAATTATTGGTAATTTTACCGAGACAGACGGGTAAGCTTACCTAAAAACCGGTATTTTTACTGTTTTTTTTTTCTGGTAAGAATACCACTTGGTACCATGGTACAGACTGGTAAGCTTACCACTTTGAATACCTACTATTGGTAATCAATTCCCGGTAACTTTGCCATTTTATCTCGGTAATTCTACCACAGTCGATAAAAAACATTGGCGTTTTTACCAAGGTCCAGTAAAATTACCAAGATTTCTCGGTAAAATTACCAATTCCATAAAAAGTAATTTTACCAAGAAAAAACTGGGATCAAATAGAACCTTGAATTCTTGGTAATTTTACCCTTTTCTTAGTAAATTCACAAAGATTTTTTTCAGTGCCTATTGTCTCTGATTCGACAGCAGCGCGGATGTCCGGTGCTCTGATTAGACATCGCCCTTGTCGGCGTGGAATCGCGGGTGAAATATGGCACCGGGGCCGGGGCTCATGACGTTTAATCATCATAATTTTGCAAAACCAATGAATGAAGTCCGTTAGCGGCGGCGGCGGCGGCCTGGTGGTGTCGACCCGTCATCCGAGCTCATAAGTGCCTGCCCAATGCCCAATGCCCGGTGCCCGGTGCCGGTCCTCCTCCGCGCCGGCTGCCCTACTATTTTTACGACCACTTTCATTGCTCTTTTATGCACAACCACGCCAATCACCAAGGGCTCACCGCTGCGAATCCCTGGCAACAATAGTGCTCCTCCATAATTCCGCTATTAGCCGCCGGATCATGGGTCTGTAGTGAGAATTCTGCTTAAGTCCTTGGTTACGTTTGCCGAGGGTGAAATTTGCTCTGAGGAGTCTAGTAACACACAGTGAGCTTGTTCACTTGTTCAGTGCTTTTTAATTCTTCTTTTTTGGAAAACTAAAGAGTGAACACAAACTGCAGGAATTGTTTTCAGATTTTTTTGAGGAGTATATTAGACGCGCACTCTGAAGGAGCTTCTTCACCCCTCCTCACTCTGGTGCGCTGCGTACAGTACAGCGAAACCTCCCAACCTGTCATGTACTTACGGCTCTCTTCGTTATCACGGCATTGCTGTTCAGACAATAGGACCGGTTAAGCAAAAAGGAACCAACCCACATTAGCTGTTGCCAGATTTAATTAGAAATTTTAATTTTTTACATGAAAACGGTTGTACAGATTTTTGTGCCAATTTCAGTGAAATTTCTACATTAGTGCTAAGTAAATTTTTTAAGATTTTCAAAGGAATCCGCACCAACGCTCTCGTTTAAAAAGTAAAATTGCCCGGTTAAATTTGGCAATAGCTGATGTGGCTTGGTTCCTTTCTATAAGCGTGGTCCAATGGGTCCAATACAGCCGTGGTAAGGAAGAACGCCGTGTGAACATTCGAGAGATAAAACAGATATTTTTGACAACATTAATGCATATTTTTCTTTGAAACTTTCAGATATTATAGATTAAATCACGTACTAAATTTTCTAAAAAATTTGGTATATAATATTCACAATTTTCCCAGTAATTTCGTGTTTTATCAAAGGAAATTTGGCAACGCCTGGAGATTCATACGGCGTTTTTCCCTAGCACGGCAGAATAGTGAGAGCATAATCATGTAACACAAAACCATGGTACGTCATTGACGAATCAGTGCTCGAATTGCATCAACCGAGTTACCCTCCCTGTAATAGAGACGAAAAAGAAAAGTATCCGTCTCTCCTTGTGCGCAAAGTCGGAGGATTGGGACGAGCGTGGCCCAGTGCTCCGGCGCACCGGATGAAATGGACAGTGAGCAACAATTGATTGGGCTTTGATCGTGACAAGGGGCCAATTTTGATGGGATCTCGGCGCGGCGGTCGGGGCCGGGGCCTCATCCTCCTCCGCCAAGGACCCGAGATGGACTCGCGTTTTTCCCAGGCCCACGATTCGGGTCCCGAAAGTGAAACCGATCCGACGGAATCGGATAGTCTTGCAGCGAGAGAGGCCGCAGATAAGAATGTTCCCAAGTTGCCGGACTTACCGAGGGTAAGTGAAACGGTCGGTTGACGTTTCCGCACAAAATTTCCGACTTTGACATTTCCGCAAAAAAAGCATGGATTGACATTTCCGCAACAAAACATATATTGACATTTCCGCAAAAAAACACGGATTGAAATTTCCGCAACAAAAGCATGAATGGACATTTCCGCAAAAAAAGTATGGAATGACATTTCCGCAACAAAACATATCGAC